ATGTTGGGGGGGGAGATAGACTTTCTTGTATTTCCCCCAACGAGCCGAGGGAGTTGGACGTCCGAGTTCTGCTGAAATGTTTATTTATAACTCCCACTGTCTGGCCGAAAGCTGGCCAAGACAAACATGCCGAGGGGTTCCCAACCAGCCCTGCCGTGTTCTTTTTCAACAGTTATTGGTTTGTGTGTGTATGAGAGAGAAACAGAGAGAGTGGGGGTAGGTGGGAGTTTGCAATATTCACTGGGAAGGAAGCTCTGAGCTTGGCTGGAGGACTGGGAGTGGCCCTTAGCCAGCTGGCATCGCAGGCAGCCACCCCATCCCACTGCTAGGCGCCCACTGGGGATGGCAGCTGGGTCAGGACGGTGCTGAGTTCCCGAAAGCTACTCTTTGGAGGTACAGGTCCCAACATCCATCTCAACCAGCTTTCTGGAGGATTCTGGGAGTTTTAGTTGAAAGCAGCCGAGGTCACATGCGCTGGGGAGGTGGTGGTCATGTAAGAGCAGGTTGAGAGGTGATGCCCCTCCAGAAGAGAGGGATGGCTCATGGATGGAAAGGATCCCGGTCAGGTTCCAATCTCTCTTCAATCTAGGTCGTCTCAACTGGACGAGACATCTAGTGAGGGAGATGTTCAAACCCTGCAAGATGCGCCGCTTCCAGGCGCAGAGCGAGACGAGGACAGCTATTTTTCCTCCTTAGGGACTCGAGGAGCTGCCCAGAGCATCTCTCTGCAAAGGAAGTAACTTCCCCTCCCCCTTTTGAGTCATGCAGAAAACACACCAGAGCGAGCGCAAGGTGAGCTGCCCCTTGTTGAAAAAGAGGCAGGCGGCCGATCTGGGCCAAGAGGTGACTTGGGTCCACCCTGAAAAAGCCTTGAGGAACAGCCGGTTTCTTTGCTGTCCGCACAGCCTGGTCATCTCCAGGTGTGGCTTGGACCTGGGTCAAGGAAGGGAGCATCCATCGCCCATGCTGTCCTCCTCCTCCGATGATGCTCATGGGCAGCTTGCAGCCCTGAGCCTCTTCCCTGAGGATAAGCAGCTGACATACCTTCCGAGCCTCCTGTTTATCTCTCACTCTCACCCTGGAGCCATCAAGGAGCTGAATTTGTATAATGGCTTATCAGGAACCCCAATATTTCAAGCGCACCTCATTAACCAGTGGCAAAGGTGGCGGCTGCCATTTGCTACTTGCTTCTCATGAACTTGGTCTAAAGCTTCCCCATCTGTTAATAACGACAGAGAGGAAAAAAAGAGCACGGATCTTGCCCACTGGCAAGGCAGCCCTCCTCCCAGTTGTCTCCGCCTGAGGTCTGGAAAGAAGGTCCATGGTTTGCCCGAACCCCACAGATAGAAGAGAGTGTGGATGGGTCTGGATAAAGAGGATCTGACCCTCCAGTCGGTTGCAGGCGCCTGTGCTTCTTTCCCCTCCAGCCCGGCTCGAAGGCCTGTGGGGCCGAAGGACTCTCGAAGCCAGCAGAGAGAAGGGCCCAAGGCATCTCCTGGCCTCCTAGCTTGCAAGAGCAGCTGCCACCCTCACGGTCTCCCTAGCAGGGTGGCTGCTCAAATTCGGACCTTACCTATATTCTCTTTGGGATTTTATGTTGATTTTATGCTTCCAACAACCGGCCTCTAACAGGGACCCTGGTGGCCTGTGCCATCCCTGTTGGAAGGAAGTGGCGGGAGGAAGCCTGACTTTCTCATCCTCCCTCTATATTTGAAAAACAGATTAATTAATTGAACCAATATTATCGCTTCTGGCCTGTAAACACAGCCAGAGGAAGGCATCTCTCTTCCGTTGCGGGTGGGGGTGGCGGCGCCCTCTCTGTCTTGCGTCGGAGGGCATGGCGCCTGCTTTGCACCGGGTGGAGGTGGCTTCCCCACACCTGGTTGCCTGGAGCTCCTCTCCCCTTCCTGGGCTTTCAGGAGCTCTCTGGACCACGTCTGGCAGGACCCAGGTTGCCTGGAGCTCCTCTCCCCTTCCTGGCTCTCCGGACCACGTCTGGCAGGACCCGGTGAAGTCCGATTTGGGTGTGTGAAGATCAGAGCAGTCGCGCTTAAAACTTGAGGCTCTCCCTGCCTTTGAAGAGCACCCCACGGCCGAGGCTTGCTCCTCCTGAAAAGTCGAGTCCACGGGTGTGAGGTTTGGACCAGCCTTTTAACGAGTTTTGTAAGGGCTCCAAAGGCCTGCTGCTTTCAGCCCTCTCTGCTGCGCCACACGAAGGGCAGGGCCAACACACGGAGCCCTTGGGTGAGTGCCTTTGTTGCTCGTTTGGACGAGAGCAGACCATTGACTCCGTGGGATTTACGAATAACGAGCTTCTCGTTCCAGAAGTGACTGAGGGGAACGCCTCTTTGTTGGGACTGCCCCAGCCCCGACCCCTTCCTCCTGGAGGAGCAGCCCCTGGCCGGCAACCTTGGCAACGTCAAGAAGGGCTTAAGGGCCAAAACTGGTCTGCCATTTTGGCTACTGGACCAGAATTTCCCATCCTTACCTGGGAAGGAAGATGCCCGGCTTCATCCAGCCTCCTTTCTGGGGGTCCCTTCTTCCCACAAACATTTTGGATTGCATCCTCTCAAAACGTTTGTTGCTACCAAATGGTGGAGATGGAGTGGGCAGAGGCCACGCAAGGTGTGTCTGCCTCCTGGCTTGGAGGTGCCCCGCACTCATTTTTATCCCTTTCTGTTCTCTTTCACAACACGGCAGCCCAGGCGTTGGGGGTTTCCCTTGGCACAACCAGGGAAGGGGGGAGAGACAGCGGCAGAGGCTCTTCATCTCCCGCATTTGGTAAGTGAGCCGTGGAATTATCCCATAATGTGGAAATCATACAATTTCTCTCTGATCTTCCCTCGGCTTAGCATTTCATCTCACGGAGGCCAAATACGGTATGACTAAGTAGACAAGAAGAAGCTCAGAGACCTTTTGTTGCTTAAGATGTGAATTAGAACTTCCTGGGGGAAGCTGGTGTCACGTTTGCCGGCGTGGAAGGCTCGTTGGTGGTCGGTGACAGCAGCAAAGAGAACACGAAGGGAGGGCGGAGAGAGAGTCGGCTGGCAGGATATGCAAGCATGGGAGCAGAGACGCCTGGGGATTGAGGGTCCGTGGGCTAGGATCTGATCTTATCCTTGGCCCACCAAGGGGTTTTGGGGGGGGGGTCACCAGCTCCCATGGCACGGCCTGCAGCTTCAATGAGTTGTTGTGATTCTCTGGGTCACCAGGCAAGAAGACAAAGCTCAAGGTGAGCAGCTCTGAAAGAAGAGAAAGCTTCATTTTTGCCTGCGGGGTGGTGGTAAAGGCGGCTTGAGCATCTTCTCTCCATCTGGTGAGCAGGGGTTTGAGCCCAGAGATCTTCCAGTTTCCAAAAAAAACCAAGAAGGAGAGGAGTGGGCTTTTGGTGTCCATTTTGCTGCTCAGAATCAATCTGGTTTCCTCACAATCTTTGACCTCCTCCCTCAGCCCACCTCACCCGAGGCTCTCCTCTGCCTTGGCGTTAGGGTCTGGTCCTGGCCTCTCAGGGAAGGAGGTGCTGCGGACGTGGCCACCCTAGTCTGGGCGGCTGCTTCCACTGGCGCTGGCTAGGGATGGTCCCCCAGCCTGGGCTAGGCCAGCTTACCTGAACGGGCAACGGGCCACGCTTTCCCCAAGCCGGGATCTGATCTCCAGACGGACATAAGGCAGGATGCTCCTGGCTCATGCCTCCTCCAGGCGGCCAAGAGGCTTTTATCTGTCAGAGGAGCAGTGACAGCTTATGAATCAGGGGAGCACCAACCTCTTTGAAATTAGTCTTATTTGGTCAAAAGCACTGGAGAGAAAAACGCAAGAAGCCATCCATTAGTTCCCGGTAACCTTTTCAACTCTGTTCTGTTTGTTTTCATCCTGACAGACACTCCTTGCCTCTTCCAGCACAGAGAGAGAGAGAGAGAGGGAGAAAGAGAGGAGATTGGGAAACTTAGCAGAGCAAATTTGGGCTTTGGTCCTTGCTGTCAGTCATCCCCTCTCTCCGGAAGGACACCAGAGGGTGAGGGGCTTCAGGGACGGCTCCTCAAGCGGAAAAGCAAGGGAGGCGGCTGCAAGGAGAACCCCATCCGTCCAGAGAGCAAGGGAGAACATGGGATAGCTCAGCATGTCTCTGGCCGCAAGGCTAGAGGTTGGGAGTTCAGTTCCCCACTGTGCCTCTTTGGCCTGGGCTCCATGGTTCAGAGGGTCCCTACCGGCTCTGCAGTTCTAAGATGATGAGGATGGGGACCCCCTCCCCAGCTAGAATGGCCCCACCATGTAGGGAGAGAGGGCAATCTTTTGCTTGAAGGTCTGCCACGGAGCAATTTTTTCCTTGGAATGTATCCTGCCTTCCCAGGATGCTGGAAGAGGGTGGTCGGGGGGGGTGGTGGCTTCTTCCCCTTGTCCAAGGGCTCCTAGAAGCACCAGCAGCACCTGGACAGCCTATTCACCAGCAGGAAGTAGACGGGGGCTCCCCTGGTCATCACCAACTTCACCTGCGTGAGTTGGAATGTTTTATCATATTAGCAAGAGACACAAAGCAAAAACCAAAACAGACATGGTGTCTCCTTAAAGATGAGCTGCTATGTTTGAGTGTTCACTTTCATGGAACCTCTTCAGGCACAAGAGTCAAGCATCAAAAAAGGGATAGGGGCCTTGGGTTGCGTTTCACACCTCATTGTGATTTAAGAGTCCAGATTGGTATTCATTTCTTTCGAAGGTTTGTAAACGGGGATAATGATTGCACAGCAATTTCATTATCATTTCCTTATAAACATTCTTTCTCATTCCGTCTCTGTGTATACAAACGAGGAGACCTAAACCTATCTAAGCAGGTGCCAATCCCCCCCCTTTTCCTTTGGGGTGTGTGTCAGAGGCCACCTTGCCCCTGGCTCACAATCCTCCAATTTTGTAAGGAAAAGAGACTCTTGGGTGGGTGGGAATTGTCTTGTTGTGCACATACACAAAGATACACACACACAGGGTCTCCAGAAAACAGCCTGTTCTGCTCCTTAGTTGGTTGCAAAGTTTTCTCCACTTTTTCTCCCACCAACCTCCTTTAGCCAAAACTTTTTTTTCCTGATCCTCGTTGAGCTGGTATTTTGCCGACTTCCCTGCCTCCCGGCTCCAGCCCCCAGGTTCGGTTCTCTCTTTCAAACCAACAACTGACACATTACTAATAAAAAGAAAGAACCCACAGAATAAACTTCAGCCCATTAATTATTGAGAGACATAATCCAAATTTATTTAATGAATTAATAATGGGCCATAGGGGTATTTTAATAATGAAATACTTCTAGTTGTGTTTCAATAATTATGGCAGGCTTTCATAATTACACTGCGGCGGCGAAAAATAAAAATCAAACCCAATTAGACAGAGTCGTCGCATCCCGGGAGCTGGTGTCGCCACGGCGGAGCAGCTGGGTTTAAAGGGCCACCAGAAAAATCAATGTTGGTTTCCACATCCTGGCCCACCTGCTGCTCTCCTTTTGCATCTGCAGAATGAAATTACTGGTGCTTGCTCTCTTTCCCTCTCCCCCTGGGCTTGGGGGGGGCTCTGCCCTGAGACGGGACTCCTTGGTGGGAGGCCTGGGGAAGGACCCCCCTCCCATTCCTTAAGACCTCATGCCACACCCTTGAGGGTTTTCCCTCTGAACGCCCTCAGGCACCAGTCAGAGTTTTGGACAGAAAATGTAGAACTGATTCCCCCTAAAAGCCATCGTGTTCTGCCTGCTGCCCAAGAGGATGGCTTTTCAATGGAAATGTGGCTGTCCACATCCACAACCCAACCTCCCGCTTGGTGGAGCAGAAAAAACCAATGGAGACTGGGATAGTGGGTTGGTTAGAGAGGCTGTAAAGAATCAGAGAAATCAACTGGGGATATTTTTTGGATTTCATTCCATGACTAAGTTCTCTGAATTATTTAAGGAGTTTTGTCAGAAGAGAAGACGAGGAACACTCTGAGCAGCTAAATGATGTTGGCAAAGCACCAGAGCAGTTGAAGAGTAGCACCATGGGGCTGGACAGCTTACAAGGTCATAATTATGTACAAATTAAGTGCACTAATTAACTGTTCCTTGGAGGGGGTGGAGCCTGCTGCCAAGACTGCATTCTGACAATCATTTTTATGACCCTCTTCTCTAGATCTACTCATAGATTGGTATCCTTAAACTTTCTTCCTCCTCCTTTCTCTGTGGTCTCTTCTTATTCCTCCTCTTCCTCCTTAGCAAATGAGAAGCAAAATGACGTGGCTCTTCCATAATGGCTGAGCAGACCTGCACAAACAGAAACCAGCATTAGAGGCTTCTGTAAAATAGAAGTTAGGGTTTTTTTTTTCTCCAGCATCATCCTGACATGCATTTCTTCAAGCAGTAATTATGATTTTTCTGTCCAAATTCCAATAGCTAGTCTTAACTAAATCTTGCATCATGGGATACCCATGAATGTCAATGTCGTCGTCCCTTTCAGCTGTTGGTTACATGGATCTGCTGTCCTGTGGGACGAGCAATTGGCTTTAATAGTCCTCTGTTTTTTACCTAGGTATTAGATTCTGGAGTAGATAGTCCTGCTGAAGAACTACAAATCTCTGTCATCACCACAGCAACGTGCGTCCCATCCAGTTACTTTGCGGCCAAGACCTGGATTGATTTGTAAGTTTGGAAAGTCCATGCAGTGGGAAACCGAAATGATAATAACTTTTTAAAACTTTTGCACCAATGCACATGGAAGTATGTAATATGATAGACCTTAAAGAGGAGAGTAAGGCCTTCAGAATGCAGGCAGGTCATCTCTGGGGTTTGCAAAGCAGACACCTTCAATGCTTCCTTTGAAAAGAGAAGAGCAAAAAGTTAAGTTCTGCTCCATCTGATTTGATTTGATTTGTGCTAAGATTGGAATTAAATTCATAAATGCACTTCTCTTCACTTTGGAACCTAATTGGAACATGGTTCTTGGATCCTGTCTGGATCAGTCCGATTCAGTCTGGAATTTGGGATTTGCCTGAATCCAGTGCAGGGCCCTTATTTCTTCTTTTTGCTCAAGAGGCAAAAGGCACCTTCGAAAGAAGATGCGCTCCTCTGACTTGTGTCTCTCCTTCCGCTTGCAAATTCCACCCCTTTAAGCCACTGCACACCCCACGCCCGCGCCTCTCCTGCCAGCTGGGGCTTTGCTTCCTCCTGCCGAGCCCCTGGGCTCCAGGCACCTCCCAACGATTTCCCGCGACCTCGGAGGGTAAACCACTCTGGTTGCCCTTGAAGACAAAAAAAAGGGAAAGTCTTGTCTGAGGTGAAGGCGGTATCTATCCAATTTTCAGCTGCCATCACATCGAAATGAGAAATCTGAGGCAGCGCCAGCCACAAACAGCTGATAACAGACTTTCGGGTGAACCTCTTCACTTATCACTTCTGGGGGTCACCTCTGCTTCTAAAGACTTGTTTTCCTTCAAAAAATAAAGAGAGAGAGAGATTGCTTAGAACATTTTAACAGTCTGGTGGAACGATAACCAAAGCCAGCCCGCCTCCGGTCTTTTATAGGCTGCAGGAGTTGAGAGATGATGCAGCCGCCGCACTACGCTAGACGCTGGGCTTCGGTTTCCTGGGGAGGTTCCCTTAAAATCCGGAAGCTGAGATGGAAAAACTGAGGCTTCATCTCCCTTTCCTCTGGGCCGTGGGAGGCTTTGTGTCTCTAGACAAGTGGAGCAAGAGGAATGCAGATCTGTGTTTTTGCGCTACAACTCCTCGCTGTCTGGGGCATTCTGGGAATTGTAGTCCAAAAACATAAATCTCAACCCCTTTCCTGGGAGCCCCAGGAGCAGGAGTGGGTGGCTTGGTGGAGAGCGGGGAGTGGCTGGTGGCAGCCCCTTAGAAAGAATGCCATATCCGCCCCACATGGTCGCATTATTGGCGACAACTCAATGCCTTGAAATCCTGCGACTAAGATCCTCGCTGGACAGGAACAACCTGATCTTAGTAGTTCATGTGCTGCCCTCTTCCTGTTTAGGCGACTGCAGTGCCTTCCACACGGGGCTGCCCTTGGAGATGCCCGAGCCAGGGCAGGATGTGAGAACGAGACTTCCGGCAGTCCCCCTCCCCTTTTGAACCAAGATGGCAAACCGGTTCGATGCAGAAGGAAGTGGTGGCAGAAACAGGTGGCAGCTTTGCAATTAGAAGCTGGCAAAACGTCATCACTCTGACACCCCTTGTTTCAAAGTGCCAGTGGGCGCCACACAGATTTCTTGACAGGGATAAAGCCAAGGTAATCTTCAGCCTCGGCAGCTGCAGAAACCTGGCAGTGGGGGCGGAGGTGCTTTCAGAGATCTGCGCTTCTAAGGATGAGGCCGGCCACCTGTTTGTGTCCTTGGCAGGGATGGGCGGGAGGGATTGGGGGGGGCAGGGGAGATTGGAAAAAGGTCAGAGGCTGGAAACTGTATGATAGACCAGGAAAGTGACTCTGCTCTTGGCTGGAAATCTCTCTAGCTGTGGAGGATGTTGCCTGCCCCTTCTGCCCTGCCGATTGCTCTTTGCCTGACTGCCTGCATGCAGGATGCCCTGACCTTTGCGGGATCCCGCCCGAATCCTGTGGCATTCCATCTAAATAAGGAAATCGGAGACTGCGGGTGACTGCGGAGTGGGGGGAGGGGGCAGTCGCCCTCCTAGGCCTGCCTCCGAGAGCCCCCCCCCGGCTCTGGCATCAGGCGGTAACGAGCAGCCCTTCTTGACAGGAGGAGTTATGGAGGTAGCTCTCAAGCTATGACAGTTTAATCAGATCTCAGGATTCAGGGACATTATATTCTGCACCTGCTCAGGGGTAGAAATGGATGGGGCCATTCAGAGAGCGAGTGAGTGAGAGAGAGAATGAGCGAATGATGTGCCACGTGCCCCTGGAGGAAGAGAAACCCATCAAGGGGGCACAGTGGGTTTTAGAAGGGCCTCCAAGGCTGGCAGGAACCCCACAGCCAGTGGCCTGGCTGCTGCAGGGGAATTATCACTATTGTTATTATACAGTCATAATAATCCCTTCGCTGTTGCTGCAAAATCAGGGTCACCGACAGGCCCCCACCCTCACTGCATCCATGGCATCTCCTATTTAGCTGTGTGGACATTAGCCTTGACATTTCCAGCAGCAGCAGCATCTTCTCATCCCCGGCTCTGGTGGGGCTGGGTTAGTGGGGTGAGGTGGGGGGGGGATGCATCCTCTCTTGCCCATAAATATTGCCTTAATTTGCATCCAGGTGGTACAACATAAGAGGCGGTTTAGGAATGATGTAGCCTTCTGACTGATGAGCTCCATTACTGCAGCCATCATTTCGCTAATAATTATGCCCAAGCTCCAGCCTGCGTTTAATCGGCCCAGAAGATGGATCCCAGGTTCCTGCAGGCGTGCCAGCGGTAATGACTTCCGCTTGCTCTTGAGCGCGCAGGACACCTCCGAGCAGGGACGGGAGAGGGCCGTGGGCCACCTGAAGCACGTCTGGCGAGGACGCAGGGAGGAATGAATGGTCAGGAGGAGACAGACACAAAGCAGAGGATTCCTTGGGGGCAAAAAAAACAAAACAGAAACAAACAACCCCCCCCTTCCGCCCTCCTGCTTGGCTGCAATGAGAAGGTGGCTGTCGTTCCTGGGGCTTCGAGGTTCCCGCACCCATTGCACGTATTTCCACAATGGAAGAGAGAGGTTAGCCTTTCTGTTGCTTCTTTGTCCCACCAGCACCCTGGAATAGCAAACACTTAAAACAGAGAAAAATGGAACTTGGAAACAAGCTTTAAAACTTGCTTTGAAGACCAAAAAGTCTCTTCAGAGGAACACAGTCTGGTTCCCCTTGGGAGGAACCTCCACAGCTGAGGATCCGTTGTAGAGAAAGTCTCTCTTGAGCCCTCCCTCACGCACGTGGCTCTTCAGGGTGGTGGGACCTGCCACGGGGATGCCACCGAGGAGCTCAGGCTTTTTCTGACTCATGGAAATCCATGTCAGGGTTTTCCAGGTAGAGAGTCCTCAGAAGTGGCTTTCCCCTTCCCTTCCCTTCCCTTCCCTTCTGGATGGGACCCCTGGGTCTGTGCAGCTTGCCCAAGGCCACCCAGGCTGGCTCTTCTCCCAGGAGGCTCAGTGGGGAGAAATTGAAATTTTGGGATGCAGACCCTCACCTTAATTTAAGTAGCAGGGATGGGAGAAGGAGACTTTCATGGCCAACCCCCCCCCCAAAAAAAAACCTGGCAGAGTTGCCATCCTCAGTTTTCCTCACCCAATAGTCACACTGCTGACTCCCAAGATCGCAGCTGGATGAAGCCAGGCAGGACCTTCGAGGACGGTAGAGAGCCCAACATGGAAGCAGAGACGTGAGAGCAAAGGGCCATCATGGCTCAGATGCACCACTCCAATTTCAGAATTATTACATTAAGGCTGCACTTAAATTCAAATCCAGCATTTGCATTAACAATTCTAATTCCCCCAGATCTATTGATTAGCTGGCTTTACCCATTTGGAGCCGGCTGTAATTAAACCTCAGCAGCCGAGCCCTTGTGAGGGAAACAGTCCAGCTCACACACAAAAAGCCCCCCCCCCCAGCAAGACCGATTCCTGGAATTTGGTCTCCATTCTGGATCGGGTTGATGGAAAATGGCATATATGTTTGTATCGGTGTCTCTCTGCTTCAGAGTGACCTCCTCACCTCCGGGAAGGGGAAAAGACAACAAAGGACACTGTTCGGGCAACCGATGCAATCGGAGAGTCAAAGGGTGTGAAAGTCGGATCCTAAAAGACTGCTGGTCTCCTCCTACCACCCATCAAAGACAACCTGGTCCCTCCAAGAGATGGCTGTCTGCACTCTTGATGGCCACCGTTAAGATCGGAGCAGAAATAAAACACAAGGTTGTTGTTTAGTTGTGTCCGACTCTTCGTGGCCACATGGACCAGAGCATGCCAGGCCCTCCTGTCTTCCACTGCCTCCCAGAGTTGGGTTAAATTCATGTTGGTCACTTCGATGACACAAGGTAGGCAAAAATAAGACTTCAATACTTGGACAAAAGGACCAGGTGATTCGGGGCAGCAAGCCTTGGGGTGCAGAGCACAGTGACATGAATGTGAAGTTGCCTGTTCTCAGCACTCACAAAGAAGAGTGAGTGTGGAAGCCTCATTTTTCTTCAGTTCACTTTGTTTCTGCCTGCTCAAAGTCCATTGACTTTTTGGGTCTCTGCATGTCTGGGGCCCTAGACATTCCTGGCGTTCCATCTTCCTGAAGAGGTATGTGCCTGTGGGTCCTTTCCTCCACCAAGCTTCTTGGTGTTGTGTTGGCTGTTGGCTGTTTACTGGGGGAAGAACAAGGACGATGTCCAAGAGACAGCAGAGGGACATCTTCAGTGGCTTATGGCTGGCCACCTTGTCCAGCACAGAGCAGAACCGAAGGGATGCCCTCCTCGGACTTTGAGCCTCTGTTTTCTAACAGCAGGACATTCCCAGTGATTCCAGGCGCCCACTGGTGGGAACTGCCTGCCTGCCTGCCTCCTCCTCCTCGTTGTCCCTCTTTGAGGGCCGCAGTGAGGAGCAATGTGCGAGACTCAAGTATGGAAGGATGACTTCTCCTTTTTCTCTTTTAAGCGACTTTTGTTAGCCCAACATGTCATGTGTGAGGAGGAAAAGAGGCTTTTAGATCTATTAGGGAGGGAAAAGGGGGGGAGAAAGACAAGAAAAAGACGCTATGGTGTGTCGGGGTGGGGGCGGGGGCTGGAGCATGCAGGAAATGATGGGGAAATTAAAATTCAGCTCTAGCAAAAGGAGGCTGCAGTGCTTCGGCGTGCTGTTCTCCTGGCATCGATCGGTTCCAGCATTTGACTTTCAACCATGACAAAACTGTGGGCAAATTAATTGTTCTCTAGGATATTAGGCATCAGAGTCTATTAATCCTCTCTGGAGTCAGATGCGCTATGAATACTAATGCAGATCCACTGTGGGGG